TTTTGTCTATTAATCATTCGGTATTTTGGACATTGACCAGTCAATGTCAGTGATTTTTGGGTATTTTATCTGTATGTACACCTACAGTCTAAGTGGTAGTTGATTAGCTTCCAAAGTGTTAAATGAAGGTGAGAAACCTGGCTGAAATTTTATCAACTATCATTCAGTTGCGGGACACAATGACACTGTTTAATATAAAATGATTTATTTTTTACTGTATGATATTTTTCTGTACTTATAGTTAATTTGCAGATATGAATTTCAGTTTATAAAATAACATGCATGAGTGTAGTTTGAACAACTCAACATGTATGTAGTAAAAATTACAACACCTGAATGTTGCTTGGATGTTATTGAAACTTACGTGGTATAAAGACAAACAATTTAGATCTTACATGGTACCGCTGCTTTTCTTTAACGCTCTCTTAACCTCTTTCATCACTGTCTATATTACTGCAGCTATGCGTAGAGTTTATTGAATTTATTCCTAATCAAATCCAGTCATCGTTGTGTTTAATCTTTCACCTCCATTGTGATCAAACGCGAACATTTTTAATTTACAAATTAAATTTTTGTGGGTATTTTTCATTGGATTGAGATCTGAATGTGTGGGTTTAATTAAAGAATGTTATCAGTTCAAATACTGTATGAACCTTTAACCAATACAGTTTCAGCTCAGTTTCTAACTGAGAAATCTAAATTCTAAGGCAAATGCAATCTAACTTAAAGCTAACAACTGTCTCAAAGTTGTCTTTTATATGTGGACCTTACTGTCATCTTTGTAATGAACACTTGGTTGTATAGCCAATCACCGTAACATACTTTCACAACCTTTTACCCCATATTTTGTCCAGCTTTGCTTAGAAACTTTACAGTTTGTAAATACTCTTAAACATTTTGTTATCTAAATAATATTTTAAAACCCATCCTGCACTGTTTGCGTCTAGTGTATATCCATACAAAGAATCATTTCCGGCATATTTTCTCTGTGCCAAATCCAGAACACCACACCTTTATGAGCATATGATGCCTTTAGTGTAAGCAATGACTCCTGGAGTATTGTGCTTAAAAGTGGACAATGAAGAAGCATCAGAGCAGTTTATCTGAGAGCGGCGGTGTTCTTCCCTGCTTCCCTGCTACATTCACGCACATCACTGTCCACTGTGTATTTTTGGAGCTTTTCAGTCATTAGTGTTTTTCCACAGCATTTCCTGGAAATCACCCGTCACTCAAACAAAATGATGCTCTGACATCTTTTCTCTTTAGTTAGCAAAGTTTCGGGCTAACTACTTTTGTTCAGTAAATATTAAACTGCTCCATCCCTCTCATGATTTCCTTTTCAGACACCCTAGACTCATCCTATGACCCCTCGGGGTCTGGACACTCAGATCACTGGCATAGAGAGTTTTGAATGGCACTGGTGTAGATGAGAATTAATCTGATGGTTGCATTATAACTGATGTGCAGCGGGTACTACCATAAGAAAACTGCACTCTTCACATGCGTACATGAGACTGACATGAGAGAGGCTCAGGTGTGCTGTCTGAAGCACACGGTGTTTATGCTCATGCGCGATTCTTCCTCGCATTAAAGGGATGTGTATACATGTACGTACAGTGATTAGGTGATCTGCTTCCTCCTTTTCATGTGTTTTTAGTCTCCTCTGCTTTGTTCCCTTTCTTAATTACAGCTCTGCTCCCCTCAGAGAGCGTGTAACCCACTCCCCACTTCCACAGCAACATCCCATTAAAGCCACGCATCGAACACCTCCCTTCCACCTTTATGCAGAATACAATTAAAAAATGGGGAGAGATCAAAAAGAAGCCAGGAGCCTGATGAGGGTGATGTTTTTCTGAGAAATGCAGATTTGTGTTATTGATGGCTGCCCCGTTTGGAAATCATTATGGGACAAGGAGTAATCAGTGGAGCTGCATCAGCATCTGAAGTCGTGGACAAGCAGCAGCACCACCCCCTAACACACACATGCACAAAGGCTCATGCTTTCAACAAAGTGTTCAAGTTAGCTGCTCACACTGTTTATTAGTTCCATAGAGCCTATTAGGATTAGTGCACACTAAACTTTTTGCTCCAACCCAATTAAAAAACAGTGTACAGTAACATGAGCCTGACATATATATGTCTGATATGTGTTATCTTTTGTTATACAATTAATTAAATATCACTTGTTCTGCCAATCTGACATGAATTTGTATTTCGTTAGTGTAGAGCAGAACCTCAAACAGCTGCTAACAGCTGTTAGCCTCAGTTTTAGTGTCCTCAAACTGTTATTTCTGACTTTTTTTTTTGTCACCTTTAAAGGAAAAATTTTTTGGAAGAATCATTGGAACTGTTCCAATTTAAATTCTTCTATGATGACTGATATTTGAGAAATACTGGCCACATCACTTGAATGAGGAATGATATGGATAAGACACTTTATCCTAGTATATGTAATTTTATATCACAAGCATTTAGGATTGAGATAATATTCTTGGTATTTTTTGATAGTTTTACTATGAATTTGCGAAGTATGCTGAAAAAAAGTTTACTTTGCCCAATTTAAAAAAAAAAGTGAGCACGGTAGTTATTAGATGTACTCATTTCAATCATCTGAGATTTAGTATAGTTAGATGTGAGCTTTAAACCACTAAACAAATAAATAAACAAACACTATTTGGTATTTCCTCACCAGAATTTTATTCAGAGCTGCGCTGAGAAGACTTTGAAACAGCATTTATTTTATGAGTATGAATCTCTGTCGATGGACAAGTGTTTTTTTGTGGTATTAAATTGTCCAAACCTATTAAGGACTACAAAATAAAATTCTGATATTACAGTTAAATGTTTTCTTAAGTTCTTAGCAAATCTCATAGAAGACAGTTACAATATTAGCAGTAGTATATCATTTGAATAGAGAATGAGTTTTTGTTGTTTTAGTGGATCCGGAATCTGCTGTTTCAATCTGAAACAATCCTATCAGCACTGAAAAGCGTTGCATAGAAGTGGACTTTTTATTCAGAGTTGCACAACTGTTATATGTAGAATCACAAAGAGGTGGCCTTTTTCTATATCTGCTATAGGAAGTAGTAACAAAACAGATGCCAGCTGTTTGCTGGAAGCATAAATAATGCTCTCACCATTGACTGGTACTGTAACTGTGTTGGTGCTAGTTTGCCTTCAGATTCCATGTCTTGCATCTGTTTAGAATCCAGACTGAAGATGCCAGTCTACTATCTAAAAAAGAAAAAAGTGTATATGTGGGTGTGTGTGCGTGTGACTGACACACACATACAGAGGAAGAAGTGTGGCAGCCTTTAATTAATTCGGGTTTACCTTTTTAAATAGAAGAATTAAATGTTGGAATATTCTAACCAGCACTGGCGATACAGTTGTTAATTATCATATTGTGACTTTCTCCTCCTCTGCTGCGAATCATCTGAGCACACACTACTGAGAATATTCCAACATATAGTCCAGACCTCGACCCATATTTGCATAAATCATCACTGAATTATGTGCAAACGCGGTCTACTTCCTTCTGAGAAGTGACTAAAATCAAATCAGAGAAACAAGCCAGTCTGGCTCTTCTCATACAAATACATACAAACTGATATTTTTCTTTAATCTTACACTACCACCTAATATCATATTTCACACACGCCCGCAGACATGCCCGCTGCCGCAATGTTTAATGTATAAACCCAGGCTTATAACAGATAGAAAACGCAGATGATAAATATGCATGTATTCAATTAAGGGTATTACAGAGGGGTGATTTGCATAAGGATTTAGGAGCTTAACATCATATTTGTGCAATAAAACTTCACAATAGCCTAAACGCGCACCATTATGTGCGGGAGGAGGGATGACAGGTATTTTTAAAAGAAGCAAGAAAAAGAACAATATTTAAAAAAAATCAAGAAAACAAAAAAAAAATGTGACTTCTCATATTGTTTTAGCGAAAAGATGCGCAGCTAAATATTTGGTCTCTAATCAGGAACCTATAAAAAGTCAGCAGGCTGAATGGCAGGATGGCTTTCGTTTGGAATCATTTTACTAACTGAATTGACTTCAGTTACAAACAACAAAAGCCACAGCGGTGATGTGATAACATGTAATTTTATCCCACGCCGCTGTAACTACCGTCTTTTGTGCCAGATCAAACCTCTCCTCCGGTCCTCAAACGCGTCCTCTGATGACGAAGCTTACACCCCCACCCCCCAATTAAGAGCAGAGAGCTAATTAGAATGAGCGGATCCGGGATCAGA